CAAATTTCCCCCCGCTTCGAATTGAAATTGCATTATCGTTACTATAATCATTTTGTTGCATGGCTCGATCGTTAAACCAACGTTTTGCCAGAATTCTAATGTGAAATTGTGCTATTTCACTTTCCAATAAAACAGCAAAAAAGTGGCGACAAATAATGCCACGGTTCACAAGTGTCAAACATGTACACAAATGGTTTGCATTGCCGAAGAGAACAACAAAATGACGCCTTTGTTGGTCAATACGTGATACTATCCATAGTTCTCTAATATCGCTAATACCATCAACGAGTTCTATTAATTCGATGAGTGTTTCATCATACAAATCTTCACTAAACATGCCTTTAGGTGTATCCTAAATAAAATAAAATAAAAAAATATAAATAACTTAAATGACAACCCTAATGGGTCAAATCTGTTAGTTTTGGTTATCAAATTTGCTAACCAAAACTAACAGATTTAACTCATTAGGAGACAACTTAAAGACAACAATCAAGCTCATGACTACTTTTAGTATACCAGTTCATTAACATTTTCAACATGAGCTTGTTGTAACTCAACCTCCAAGTTAGTATGATAAGCTCGATAATGGGAGCATTGATCCATTTGATTCTGTTGCAGCTTTTGTATCGCCGGTGTAAGAAATTTAGTGCAAGCTTCATCGATCGCTATAAAATAGTGATCCCGGTACGATGCATTCATAACACGTGGTAACTCTCCATTAGTTTCATTAAATCTCACAAATTGTGACTCCCTTGCCAAATGCCGCTCTATTATGCTTACTACTTCCATTAATGAGGTTGTTCCATTTAACGATTTCTTCAAAATCGCATTATACACTTCAACTCTTTGAGTTGATTGTATACCACAATTGAAAGACCGATGCGTGAAAGCTAGAACCCATGCTTCACGATGAGGATAAAGCTGACGCCTAAAATAAGATTGTGCTTCAGGAAAAAGATCCAAAACCTGTTGCCACTTTTTCTCAAAAACAGCTTCAGTAGTGCTATTGCGTGCTTGACAGAAACTTGAAAAAAAATTTCTAAACTTTTCTCTACCAAACTTAGAGAGAAAATGTTTTTCAAGATTTTTTCGTATGTGAAACAAACAGAAGTGATGCTTTGTGCCATGCCATATATTTTCAATAGCACCAGTAATTGCTGGATCCGCATCCGTAGAAACAACTTTAGGTTGTAACCCCCCTTATAATAAAAAAAAAAAATTTAAATTAAAAGC